GAATCCTCATTTAATTGGAAGCCAATGTAGTTCGGTTAGAACTGGAAATTTGTGTGCTGTACGAGCCGAGCAGATTACGAAACGAGGAAGTACATTCGGGGAACACTGAAGGTTAGAAACCAGTTCAGCTGTCAAAACAAACTGAAGACCGATACAGTAATCCAGTCTTAAAATAAAAAGGAGCTAGCTAGACGAACTGAGTTTTCAGATATTATAAATTTAGGTATCCTCCAGGTTTGTATCCGTTTCCAGTGGCTTAATATGATTAATCTGTTGCTAAATTGATATTTTTATGAAAAAAAAACTCGAGGCTTCTGAAGTGCCTTTTGATATCAATAATTTCCAAAATTTAAATTGATCAATCATCAATCTATATTTTTCGATCAGCAACACGGAAAAGTTCATTGATCTTCCAAATGCTATTTAGAAATAGCTATTGTTACCATACTTATGGAATGGCACACTTCTGTATCTTAATTCATCCTTAATAACGAGAAGATCAATATTGATCAGAATTGGTCTCATCATAGTGCCTGCGGTTTGCTCTTCCCATTTGTGCTTAGATTACTTATCGCCCTCTAATTTTAACACATCAGTTCTACTTAAAAAATGGTTTCAAAGCCGTGAGTGCTTTGTCCCTGATTCCCAATCTATTTTGCAATTAAGGGTATCGAGTGCACTGCTGAGGTTGATACAAACTAAAAGGTCAATTTCTCGTGGATGTTCTTCCTGCCTCCTACTTAAAGACGGCTAGGGCTTTAGTTTCAATCAAGCAATGATCTGGGTTTTCTAGCTGCATATAATCAATTTCAAATACTTATCAGCCTATCTTTCGTCGGCTGATGTTCTGTCGACTCAGTGTTTTGTCAACGTTTCTTGCGCTGTATGCATTTTATTTATTTTTAAACAATTTTTTAAAAAATAAACAATCTTTTGTGTAAATTTTTTTTGCTGGAAGTTTTTTGACCCAAATAGTTTTCGCTTGTGTTATCGGCCTAGTGATTTAATTTCGCGTCTTTTGAAGGGATTTTTAGTGTGTTATCTTTTTTTTGTGTTTCTAGAGGGAGAAATGCGTAATAATAAGAATTTCAATTTTCTGTAGCTGAAAGTTTTTCATGACTTATTTTTGTTCCGACTTTCGATACGAAAGTAACGGAATATTTGTGCTCGGGTGGGTTTTTTTCTTCAGACAAGTTTCGACTTTTTAACTAGCCATTTTTGACGGAATTTTTTTAATATCATTCGAAAGGTATTGTTGTCCTGAGCTCAAATTTGAAAAGATATTTCACCTGTGATCTTTTTTCGTAAGCTTATGGGGGTTTAAAGATTGCCATTTTGGCCAATTTGGGACAATTAACGCGCGATATATTTCGCGCTATTAACGCGTAAGCGAAGAGTTAATCCGTCTTAAAATCGTTCCAAATTGGTTGAAAGAAGCTTATTTGCCATATTCGATTTGTTACAAGAAGCTAAATTTGTTTGTTTGTACTTTATATGGCGTGTGGGGGGATGACTTTCATAAAAATATTCAAATTTAAAAAAAATTTCATTTTATTGTTCCGACTTTCGATACGAAAGTAACGGAATATTTGTGCTCGGGGTGGGTTTTTTTTTCTTCAGACAAATTTCGACTCTTTAACTAGCCATTTTTGACGGAATTTTTTATATCATTCAAAAGATTTTGTTGTCCTGAGCTTAATTTTGAAAAGATATTTTACCTGTGATCATTTTTCGTAGAGTTATGAGGGTTTAAAGATTGCCATTTTGGTCATTTTGATCAATTTGGGACAATTAACGCGCGATTTAATTCGCGCTAATAACGCGTAAGCGGAGATTTAATTCGTCTTATAAATCGTTCCAAGTTGGTTGAACGAAGCTTATTTGCCATAATTGATTTGTTACAAGGAACGAAATCTCTCTTTTTGTACTTTATATGGCATGTGGGGGGATGATTTTCATAAAAACTTTCAAATTTTAGAAAAAAAAATTTTCATTTTATTTTATTTTATTTAGTTTTTATGCTATTACTGCTGCTCCATAAACCTTAAAAGGCAGTCGGAACATTCAGGGCTTCGCCCTGATACGAGCAGTCTTGTTTTATTTTGTTTTCGGTTCAATGTGCGATTGGTGCTGTCGGTTCAATGGGCCATTAGTTTTGTTATTGGCTCAAGTGTTGTTTTATTTTACGCTCAATAAATGTTTCCATGTACTTGATTAACAACATAGGTAATGTGTTCCGACGTTATTTCTTCAAAATGACCGTCATTTGAGACAAAATTTGGCAAATTTTTGTAGATGTAACTTTGATTTTATATCATTCGTTTTGACGTCCTAGTGAATTTCATTTCGTTTTTGTTTGCTATGTTGCAATGCTGTGTCCATTTGATATCAATGGCTCCGCTTCGCCTCTGTATTAATTTTGCAGCTAAATAAATCAGGGGAGACTCAAAGAACGGCAATTTGAGTGGAGTTTTGAGATGAATAAGCAGATTAATTCGAGTCAAACGGACAGTTACCCTGAAGATTTTTTAAATCAATTCGTTAGCTACATGCTTTTCCTAAATTGAAAATGACTGATTGCATTGCCCTGCAGCAATGCAATCGTTAAAGGAGCCGAACTACTAGAACTTCACAGGTTTCAAAGGTATTAGTTCAAACATTTGATCTAATCATCTGCAAAAGATATTTCTCCTTGAATGTTTTTGAAGTCAATATAAAGGTTTTTCTACTGTATTTTGTCTATGTAAGATTATGGGTTCATGACATTTATCATGCCAGACACTTAGCATGTCTAAATTTTTTTTCCAAAAACATGTTGCTTAATTTTTTCCTTTTTTTGTTTACACATGCGAACGCTGGTATTACCTCGCCAGTTGACTTTACCTTACTTATTAAGTTTCAAATTTCTTTGTTCAGTTTTCAAATTTCTTTGTTCAGTTTTCAATTTTTTTAGTCAGTGTTATTGTTCCGACTTTCGATACGAAAGTAACGGAATATTTGTGCTCGGGGTGGGTTTTTTTTTCTTCAGACAAATTTCGACTTTTTAACTAGCCTTTTTTGACGAATTTTTTTTTATATCATTCGAAAGCCATTGTTGTCCTGAGCTTAAATTTGAAAAGATATTTCACCTGTGATCATTTTGCGTAAAGTTATGAGGGTTTAAAGATTGCCATTTTGACCAATTTGGGACAATTAACGCGCGATATAATTCGCGCTATTACCGCGTAAGCGGAGATTTAATCCGTCTTATAAATCGTTCCAAATTGGTTGAACGAAGTTTATTTGCCATAATTGATTTGTTACAAGGAACGAAATCTACTTTGTACTTTATATGGCGTGTGGGGGATGATTTTCAAAAAAAATTTCAAATTTTAAAAAAAATTCCATTTTTTTATTTCATTTCATTTTTTATGTTATTACTGCTGCTCCATAAACCTTAAAAGGCAGTCGGAACATTCAGGGCTTCGCTCTGATACGAGCAGTCTTGTTACATCTTAAGAATATAATCCAGTGGGAAGTCAAAGTTGATGCTGAGGATGTTGATACAGGCTTTTGTGTTTTATACCATCTGAATTATTTTGATGTCCTGAGCTCAGAATTTGATTTTTTTCACCTGTGTTTTTTGTTTTGACATTGGGAGAACTATTGCGCCCTGTTTTCTCTGAACTATTTTTCTCGCCTAAATATAGGGAATTGAATTGAGACAAATTTTAAGACCGAATAATGCGTTAGTAAGCGATATAAAAATCAATCTTTAGTTTAAGGTTTGTTCAAAGTTTTCGTTAATAAAAGGGTATAAGTATTTTTTAAGTTTGCTTGTGTTTGTGAAGTGCAACTTCGCTACTGTAAAATTTGTTTTATCTCAAAATAGGGTTTTGTTCCGTACATTAATTGGCCCGACAATTATTAGGTAGATGTTAATTTATTCGTAATGAATGCTTCTGCGTTGTCTCCCTTAATGCATGTCCACTCGCATAGACAAAATGTTGTATGGCAGAATCAATGAGACGACAAGCATAGGCAATGATAGGTAATCCGACGACAAGCAAATTAGATGATCAGAAGGTAATTGAACTTAGACTATAACCTGCGTGCAAAATGCTTAAAAATTGTTTATCGACTTTTTTTAGTCGAGTAAACACTGGTTGTCCACCCACATATCAGATTAATATCACAGTTGTATAACTTATAGATCCAAATATGTACTAAACTTTTTCGATTCAATATTTTAAAGCTCCAAAAATATACTATACTTTTTCGATTTATTGTTTTATAATCAATTTACAATAATAATTTCGATCAGTTCTGTGATAATGTGCTCTTTTTGTTTTCGAATGAAGTTGGCCCAGTTTTTATTGTCTAAATGCACAAAAAGTTATCGTCTGAGTTCAGTTATTTTACGGTTGTCTAATCTGCTTGTCGCCTAATGTCCAACCCCGTTGCAAACTGGATTATTAATTTAAACAGAGTGAATCAGAGATCTGTTTTTAAAATTAATTTACATTAATTGACGAGGAGCGTTTTTAATTAATGAGGATCGATGGTGAAGTGGTTGAGTCCCCGCCTCTCAATCGAAAGGTCGGATCTTCGAGGCCCACCGTGATCCCTGCTCGTTGCTTCGGGGTGAGGCAATATTACCCAACCCAGCAAAATAACCGGAAAAATGCACGTAGTTCTTAGCAGGGGAACATCAGCGGTGCTCTGTGATTAGCTGTAGAGCTCGTATGTTGGTCCTTTGGCTTGTGGATAATTGGCCTTAACCGAAATTGAAATTTGTAGGTATTGTTGTCATATAGTGTATTTTGAGCGATGAACGTTAGAATGTTATCCATAGTTTTTATGTCGCAGTAACTTCCCGGGTTCAGTTCTAGCGTGAAAAAATGATACGCATTAATCTGATTTGGTGCCATGTTGGGAGAAATTGTAATTATATCCAAAAGTGTTGAAAGGTAATAATAATTGTTAATGTTGGACATGAATTATTTTGTGTCTATTTTCAGCAATGTGACTCGGAGGTTCAGAAAAATTTCCTGGGCAAACTGTGGGAGAAAGTTCCGAACACGTTCGAGCCGTTCGAGTTTAAGCAGACCATTCCGGACAGTCAGGATCCCTATTCCTACTTCACGGCTGTCTTCACCGAAGCCAGACAGGACAGATTTGCGCTGGAGAAAATGGGAGGAACTGAGCATTTTTTCACTGTGGGAGATAGAAACCGAATTGTGAGTTGGTATTTTTGCGATCGTCACTTTAGTGGCGAATCGGTAGTGATGGTGCCCAGCAATCATATGATTGCGGGTGCAAAGCGCACGTTCGCTGCAATTTACCAGGTGATCTCTTATAAGATAGCCATAGCTAGTTAGCCTTAAGTAATTAAGCTGCGGGTTAGGCCTCTGGCTGGTTAACTAACAAAAGGAAAGACACGGTCTAGGTGCGAGTAACCTCAAATTCGCTGCAGGAATGAACTGCATGGTTTTATGGTATGAATTGTTTTTTTTTGTAAGTCAAGTAACGTTTCTTCATTTATCATTGGCCTGATTTTCCAGGCGACATTTATAAGTGTCAATGAACGAAGTAAAGAAAATAATTTTGTTTGATTTTTTAAAGAAAATTTTGTTCGCGCTCATTTTAGATTTTTCGCAGTTTTGTTTTTGATTTCTTTTGACGTTCAATTCAAATTTGTCTGCAATAACGAAAATGTAAATGGTTCGACAAAGAAGACTTAGATTCAAAAATGGACTCTTAGATTTAGCGGATTGAAAAATTACTTAATCCAGTTTTCTCAAATTGGGTTAAATGTTATAAAAAAATTGTTAGTCACAAATCATCGTTGAAATTCAAAAAGCTTTAAAACTATTTTTTTCAAAATTAATCAGCCGATTTTTTTAGTCCATCGAAACTTCCACTCTCTTGTGAATGTATTGTATTTGTATGGCCTAGTGCCCTTGCGTTGCTTACGAAGTCACAGCTTGATTGTGAAACCAAATGCGACTTTGTTTGTTTGCTTGGGAATGTAAGAGATTATTCCTTTTTATTATGGATCATTAAAAAAATGATTTACATGTGCTTGATTATGTTTTATGTTCGTGTGTTCTGATGAATCGACGGAAAATGTATCCTTTGTATGATGCAGGTCTACAGTATCCTGAGCCGTACAGAGTATGACTGTGACGAAGATAGGGAAAAGGATGGCCAGGAGAGTGAGAGTCAGTTTCTGAACAAGAAGTTTGGCATCGACCGCATGATAGACGAGCAGATCTACAATAGCGCCTACCCTCTGCACTCGGGTAACTACTTGTGGGATCCGATTGAGATGGGGATGCCGTGGCATGAGTGCGAGTACCTCACAGACAGACAGAAGCTGTTCTACTCCTGGGCAGATTGGAGGACCTTCTACAAGAAACAGCCCATGACACTCATTCGGTGAGCGAAGCATAAGCACATACAGAATAACTCCCCCAGGGTTAATAACAAACTCTATGGGAAATTCCGTGGTAATTCCATTTTCTTCTTTCGGAAATTAAGCTGCGATAAAGCTCGGATTACCGGAAAGGATGACAATATATATTTGAACTAGAAATTTCTTAATCTACCTATCTGCCACTACTTGTTACGTGTGTGTGTTCAGGAGGTACTTTGGGGAGAAGATTGGCATCTACTTTGCGTGGCTGGGCTTCTACACGTGGTTCCTGTTCCCTGCAGCTGCCCTGGGATTCATCTGTTTCCTGTATGGCTGTCTCACCATGGCCACAGACGACATCTCCCGTGAAGTGTGTGACGATGGACCAGCTGCCAACTACACCATGTGTCCACTGTGTGACAAGGCATGCGAGTTCTGGAAACTAGGCGAGAGTTGTATACAGGTAAAATCATAAAAAGAAAGGTCAACTCAAATGAACTTAAAAACGGTTGAAAACAAATTATTATCATAGCTGAAGGCATGCCTGCTCATCATTTATGCGACGTTCATCCTCCATGTTTTTCTTAGGCTGCACGGTGTGCACTTCCACATGGGTGTTTTTTCGAAAAACGATGCCTCGCTGGTGATTATCTCCTGCATGCGAAACACATGACCACACCACGTTAATCTTATCTATCGAAGGCTACATTCGAGAGGCATCCAGATTAGTAGCCGCCCGGTTTTTGTTGTTGTTGTTGACGATTCTTCCGCTTAGATACTGTCGAGTGCATCTGCTCTCCCAGCCATCAAGTCGTGATAGGTCCATCCGACTTTTTGATTGATCGTGTCTAGTTGTATTCCATGTGGAGTTACTTTGTGCGGTGTTCATACTCAGGCAATGAATTGATTAAAAGGGATCAGACTCTTCCTTTCCGATGGGTAGTGGAAAGCGATCAGACAACCAGCAGTATTAGAGAAAAAAAAACATTTTGTCCGATCAATTGTTGTACAATTGTTACATGCGCACCTGGTACAGGTACATGTATTTTTTTTTAAAATTTGTTGACTGATAAATGCAACAATTTGGTGCTCATGTTACATGTACCATGTTTCTAGATGGTGCCCATTAAATGCACAAATTGTTGGCTGATAAATGGCTGGTTTTTAAAAAAAATTGGCAGCTGTTGGGATATCTAGACATGCCACACAAAACAACCAACATCATTATAGACTTGTATACAAACTCAACGAACAGTATTAGAAAAAAAAACGTTTTGAGTTTATTTACATGTCTATAATGATGTTGGTTGTTTTGCGTGGCATGTCTAGATAACCAAGCATCTGTCAAAAGTCACTTTGCTACAGACTTTTGAAAGCAGTGTTGAAATGTCTAGAAGTCATGACTATTGGCCTGCTGTATTCAATAGCGTTGCCTGATCGCGGCAACCTATTTTTGAAAAACAGTCCAGTTGCCGCGGGCGGAGTGCTCGTATGCCACTGACAAATTTGCCTGCAGGTTGAATGCCATAAATTTGAAACCAATGCTTAGAAAAGCGATTCCTGGGTGCTCTTCACAGGCCGGTGAATTTTTTTTTCTTGTAAAACAAAAATGATCACCCTGAGAACTTTTATTTTTAATGGAATAGAGTCAACGTAATACGCCTACTTTTGGTCTGCATATTACGTTGTTTTGAAAAATGTCGGAAGTTTTTGGAAGCTGATATTTATTCACACTTGTCAGTGGGTTTGAAAATTAAGATGATTATAAAAGAAGGTGATATTTGTAGGTGAAGGTTTCTCGGATGATAGACAACGAGGCAACTATCGTGTTCGCTCTGTTCATGTCTCTCTGGGGCATCCTCTTTCTAGAATTCTGGAAGCGGACTAAGAACGAACTGGCTTACGAGTGGGATCTGTTCGACTACGAGGAGGGAACACAGACCATCCGGCCTCAGTTCGAGCGGAAAGCCATGCTGGTGGTGGCAAAGAATGCCAAGAAGAAAGACTCCTGGTGGCAGATCAACCCTGTAACCCTGGTTAGTACTAAAATAGCTGTTCGTTCAACCACATAGATGTTTGTTTCTGCCTCTTTTTTGTTTCCATTGGGCACACCCATTTCTTTTCTGTGATTAATTTCAATGAACGCAAGAATTTCCCTAATATGGGCTATGAGACATTGTTCTCAACAAAAATAGGAACAGATTTTTTCAGCTCAGCGACTCCTGAAAACGGATGTGTAGATTCAATGGTGATCTACCAGGCAATAATAAATTTACGGAAGTGTCAATTTTGATATGAACAACTTGATGGAAAAACAATTTCAAAATTGACAATTTTTTTCTGAAAAAATATTTAGAAAACCATTTAATGAATTTTTTTAGATGACGGAGCCATTCATGCCGCTCACAACGCGACTTCCCAAGCTCTGTGCTTCTATCTCTATCGTATTCTTCATGGTAAGAATCTGGCAAATTAGTCCCAGGTTACTTGAGATTGCTGTTTGAATATCTTCGTTAACAGATAATGCTTGAATACTTGTAATTAAACGGGGCCAGAATCCCAAAAAAAAGCCTTGGTACAGTCCGAAACGATTTTGTTGTTCGGGAATAATTTTTGAACCTCGCACAACTGTAGCTAAAATAACTCTAATTCTTTGAGAAATTTAGATATGATCAGATTTGATTACTTACTGTATGCGTGTGCGTAGATATGCTAATGGGCGGTAAGTTAATCTAGATTCTGATGATTTCTGATGCTATAGAATATCTACCATTTGTTAAAGAGAGTACTTCTCAGATACTAGTTTTGGTCTCACTCTTTGGATCTCCTTAAGTATCGCCACCGCCCCCCTCTTTGGTACCTAGTAACGAATTGCCACTCCTATAATTACACTTGCGAGAGCAAGTGTCTGGTGAGTTAATTCGGCGGATAAGCATGTGTATTTTGTACCTAGTAATGTTCCCCCTTGCAACATGGGGGATAGGCAGATAGATCCCATGCTTTAACTGTATGTAGATCTCGGTGGTGTTGGCGACAGTGATTGGGGTGGTGATCTATCGTGCACTGGCCGGATACTTCTTCGTCAAGCAGGACTTAGGCCCCACCTGGTCCAGCATCCTCACCTCCTGCACAGCCTCCACCGTCAATCTTATGTTCATATTCGCTTTCTCCAGATTCTACAACGTCCTCGCTTACAAACTGACTGAGGTGCATATTTTAAAAAAACGCTATTTCACTTCATACTTTACCAAGTGATATTGAGCAAGTCTTAGCAGTTCGAACATATTGAACGATGTCATGATTTCACTCTTCAAATCACGAGAAATTCAGCAGAAGATTTAATTTGAAAACCAGAAAATGTTTAAGTGAATTATGCATTTAGTTAAGCATGATATTTTTTATTTTCCATCTGGTTGATTTGTTTCAGTTCGAGTGTCCGCGTACAGACAGTGAGTTCGACAACTCGTACACAGTGAAAATGTTCGTGTTCCAGTTCGTGAACTACTACTCTTCCATCTTCTATATCGCTTTCTTCAAGGGCAGATTCGGGGGATATCCCACCAACTACTCACTCGTCCTCGACAAGTACAGACTCCAGGAGGTATGTCAGAGAAAAGAAACTGTCGCTGATAGTACAATTATGTTTTGATACTAATTATTAGCGGTTGAGAGGGTTTGGCTTTATTACACAAGCAAAGCTTGTGTTATAGTATGAAATCTTTTTTTCCAACCTAAGTCGCAAATATTGTGTCGACGCAAATATTGTTGCGACAAAATGTGTTCACTTTTGAAAGTGATCATTTTGATCAATAACTAGCTATTAAGAAGTACAGCTGATGCTAAGGATATTAACACAGACTATTATATAACAAATAGCGCTTTAGCTTCAAGTTATCATGGATCTGTAGCCTAGAGGTAGGGAGGGAGACCCGCAACAAGGTGAGAGGGTTCGAACCTGGGCAGGTCGGATGTTTTTAATGAACTTTTTTAAACTCAAGGCATCTTGTAAGAATATTTTTCAGCTGGTTCTGTGCTTTTTTTAAACTATAGATGAGCATAATGGGTACGTTCTAATGGATATACATGAAGTTTGGGCGTTCTAATGGGTATACAAATGGGCGTTCTAATGGGTATACATGAATTTTGATGTCAAAAGATCTCTTTAAGTTGCTTTGAAAAAATCATTTGCGGTTTGGTCACTAAGTATATTTTTACCAGGGGCAATTGATCTTTACAATCAGTTTATTACACTTGTGAAGCTAAGTGTTTTAGTACGAACTTTCTTTTTTTCCAACCTAATTCGCAAATAAATGTTATACTTTTGGTGGCACTTTTGAATCGGTAGGCTGCGGCAACTGCCTATTGGTTTCTCGTCTGATGTAAGTAAATGTCTCTTGTGTGTTCAAGTGTGGACCGGGTGGATGTCTGTTTGATCTCATGACACAATTGGGCACAATCATGGTCGGCAAGCAATTGTACAGTAACCTGCAGGAGATAGGCATGCCGTGAGTAACGTTCAAAAGGGCTTCTTCAGAAAAATGTACGGGCTGGTTTGCCAATAATGGATATCGATCCTTTGGTGACGATGTGGTCCAATTCATGATGGAGGCATCAGTATCCCTCTAATCCCCAATATGCTGATGGCTTTTTAGTGTTTTGGTATGGGAAAGACAGTGAATTTGACCATTAATGAAGTCTTTAATTTGCAATTCGTTATTTTTTGGGTAGAAGTAGTAGCTAGTATGTAAGTTTAATGTTAACCAAGCGAGTGTACGTTGAAATTGCGCCTCTTCAAATGAGTTTTGAAGTTGTTGTATTGTGTTGTGATGTAGGATGTTGAAGAAGTGGTTTGCATCTCGTAAGTTCCGAAACCAACAGGAGGACGAGGAGGATGTAGACGGAGAGGGAGGAAACAAAGAAAACGACGAGAAGAAACTGCACAGGTTAGGAGCTTCAGTTGTTTTGCGAGAACGAAACAGTTCATACAAATTTTTTGTTTAAATTAGGAAAGTCTGGGAACGAGTAGAGGTCCCGAGGGAATGTCATCTTCCAGCCCGTTCAGTTGTGATTCGCTTTTCAATTATTATTTTCAAATATTATTCCGCGTCCAGAAATTTTTATTTGCAATTTTCGATTAGTTTGTCGAAATATACGGTATTAATTTCTGAGCAACCGAGTACTCTTGTTTTTTTCTCACTAAGATTCCTCACTGTTCTAAATGACAGAACTCCAATTTGGACTTGACAAATATTAAGAAGTGGGAAGGAACTTAATTTCAGGTGTTTGTTTCCGCGTTCAGACAATTCGGTCACAGACAATTCAGCCAATTTCAAATTCAGACAATTCAGTCAAAATGAGGGAGAAAGTTCGGCCAAAGACTATTCAGACAATTTAAAAGTTTTAAAACTTTTCACATGCGACAAAACATCAAGGCTTTCATAGACGACGTATAATAAATTCCTTTCAAATGCACATAAAACATAAAATTAACAGAACCAAAAGTACCTAAACATAATAAATTTTTATACAACTCATTATGTTTCCAATTTTAGAATAATAGCTCAGCAAAATTGAACTCAACAAAAAACGTTGAACTGCACAATATTTAAAATTTAACCAATTTACACGAAAGCAGACTCGGAATTGGGAATTTTACAGGCGGTCAAAAAGGATATCAGTTAAAGGGTTGACCACCCCTACCACGTACTGGCCACTCAGTTACGCTGATATTCTTATCATGCCTTAGGCGGGGACGGGTGTAACCGCCTATCGGGTAATTTGGGTAGTTTGTTGAAACTAATATGAAACTTAAACTTCTTTAAAAGATAAACTAATTGCGATTAAAATTTTGTCAACCAGAAACCAGTACCGCGTTTAACGCCTACTTTTTGAAGTTAGATGGTCCATTTACACAATTAACATTGATTAATCTTCATTAGTAACTAGATGAACAACTAGTTGATTAGTATCTGAATCATTCTCATTTATTAACTTTATGCAAAAGTTGACGTAAAATGGAATTCGTTTTATCTGAATGCGGAAAGAATCATCTTTGTCTTGATGGTTATAGAAGCCGTGAAAAAAACCAACTTAACAACGGTCTCCTTAACTGACAATGTACATTTGGAAATTGCAGAGCAGTGGGTTATTTGGACGAACAGTAAGATTTCACCTTCAAAAGTTCAAGCTAAGAAGTTTGCTAATTAAGTTCGAGAAAAAGCCGCAAACACCGGTAAAGCTCTCCGACAGATTGTTTTCTACGCCCAAATTGACCTGCCTCTTCATGCAGCGCCGACAATACCGAGTTACTCAACATATCTTCGGAGTATAAACCGACTCAGGCAGCAAGCTTTAAAAACAATGCCAAAACCAGAAAACCATGAGCGTCGACGAAATTTTTGAACCTCTTTAACTCACACACAGCGGTGATACGTTCCTACGTTTTGATTCGGACAATCGAATTTTAGTTTTTGCAACATTACCTGCGCTCGATTTGCTTTCTCAGTCAGAAATCTGTCATTGCGATGGAACGTTTTCAGTGGCACCAGATGTCTTCTACCAATTTTATACGATTCATGATGTGATTGAAAACGCAGTTATTCTCTTGGTGTATGCTCTGCTGCTCAACAAAACTCCAGACACATGAAAAACTTTTTGGCTGCTTAAAGCAATTTGGAAAAAAGTAGTCATTGATTTTGAAGCCGCTGTTCGCAACGCCACAAGGAAAATGCAGCCTGATACAGAAATTCATTTCTGTTTCTTCCACCTGGGCCAGGCAGTATTTCGCAATGTACAAAAACTTGGATTTACGCGCAAGTACATGGGCGATGATGCGTTTCGACTGAATGACAAAAAATGACTTGCTTCGCAGTCGTTCCCGTTATTTTCGCTTTTGAGGCGCTGGAAAAAGAGGAATCTCAGAGTCTATCGGACTATTTTGAATACACCTATATTGGTGCCTGTCGAGGGAATAGACGCGTCAAACCAAAGTCTGACATTGCCGATTGGAACGTTTTTAATCGGGTGCTCAGCGGAAAACCTCGTACGAACAATGCATTGGAGGCATGGAATGGCAGCTTCAATAAATTCGTGTCGAAAAAGCGCCCAGCCCTCCCCGAGTTGATCACATGTTTCAAAGATGAGCAAAAAATGGCGATAATAATGTAGAGAGACTGATGTCCGGTGATAATATCAGAAAACGAAGCCCAAGTATTCAATCGCCAATGAGAAACTCGTTCAAAACGCAAAAAAAACGAAAATCGAGACCATATACAGAACTATTTAGAATTTTGTACCTTCAATGTACATATATTCTAAACTTTACATAGCAAGTTTGATTTGATCTTTGAAATTTGTTATTTGATGTTTCACATCTATTTGTTAAAGTGATGAAAGCCTTCTGACTCTAATCAAACTAGAGAAGTTTTAATTGTTCCTTTTATCTAGTCTTTTTAATCTAAATAACCAGAATTGTCTTTGGCTGAATTGTCTCAGTTTTTTGCCTGAATTGTCTGTATTTAAATCGGCTGAATTGTCTCTGCGCCGTTTGTTTCAAACAAAATCACGCAGATACGTCGGAGGTGTTTGAGTGAAATAGCATACTGAAGGAAGCCCTTTCAGTCGCAATTTGAATCGTTAATTCAAGTCGCATTTTTATAAGGTCAATGAAGTTACTGAAGACACTTATATATAGTCGTGACCCATAAAAAATCACCTATCGATCCAGTTTTCTCGAATTGGGTTTTTTTTCTATCACCAAAGAGCCAATCATAACTTGTTCTTAAAATTTGGAAATTGACGTTTTTTTCTGTTTCCCTCCATTCATTGACACTTTTCCAACTTTCTGTTGGCTATGTTTTCAAAATTCAAATCAATGGCAAAAAAATTGTTTTGAAGAATTATGGCCTCAAAGGGAAAACTTCATTCTATAATTGAATTAATAAGACCAAAATTTTATTCGTTAATTACGCTTGCGATTAGCAAGCGTTATCAAATCGTAGTAAAACTTTTTTCGGGTTAACAACTTCTTCAACAAAATCAATTGAATCAGTTGCAATGTCTGTTCTGATGGAATTCCCGGAAACAGATCATTTGAGCATGTCTGCATTTTGAATTGCCATTTAAAGCGAATTTTTGTAGTTGCTTTCAAAATTATTCTTTTCTTCTTCGCTGATTGTTTTCGTTTTTTTTTTATTATTTCACTTATATTTTCTTCGGCTTCAATGGTTTGGGTTGATAATATGTCTGTTTATTTGCCTCATAATTGGTCGTTTCAAGGGCCGAAATATTGTTATTGCAGTTCTGCTCTTGACTGGGGGTGTGAAAAACGAGAGTTTGAGATTTTTTCTAGCTCAAAAAGTTTCACAGCAGTTTTTTCAGGTAATTTGTCGTCTACCCAAGTGTTGTCTACTCACTTATTGTTTGATGAATGTTGTTTTTCAATAGATATTTCACACTGGACCTTGTGTTTCTCAGTATCTTTCTTCGAAATCGACTTATTTGGAGACAAATAAAAAAAAAGATTTTTATCATTTTTTTTTAAATCCGACGAATCAGTGGCTTTTGTCCTCTTCTTTCGAGTAGCTTCCGTTTTTTGACGTATCGTTAGCGATGAGAATAAATTTTAAAATTTGTATGTGTTATAAATTTTATAAATTTAATAGTCTTCCATGACAGGCGTTTCATATCTAGATCAAAAGGTCCTTGTTGTAGACTCCTGTCTACCCACGCCTCAAACAACTTACCCAAAAAAAAACATTTTTCTTATTTTTCAGAAATTAAAATTCTTTGATTTGTTTTGCAAATGTTCGAGAAATTCAAAGAGCTTAAATTAAAGGGCATCTGATTTTTTTAAGAATGTCAGTGTTTTTTTAATGTTTACTTGCGTTCATCTATTTCTCAATCTTCGATTGGCTATGTTTTCTATTTAAAGGTGGGAGAAGGACTTCGTGTTGTCTGCGTGGCCGCCGATGAACTTGTTTTACGAGTACCTGGAGATGGTGATCCAGTTCGGCTTCACCACCCTCTTCGTGGCCGCCTTCCCCCTCGCCCCCTTCTTCGCCTTCCTAAACAACGTCATCGAAATCAAACTGGACGCCTACAAGTTCATCACCCAACTCAGGCGTCCATGGGCACAAAAGGCGGAGGATATCGGTTAGTCTGCTCAGTTTTCTCCTTTTTATACCCACAAGTGAACATTTTTAGCGAAACTGTTGTTGACATTTTCCGATTACTATGAAATTTGTCATGAGGAGTATCTAATAAATTCAGCCTTGAAACGCAACTTGTGAGGCGACAGTTGAGTCGAGAAAATATTTGATTTTTATTTATTGCATGGACAGGGGCATGGTTAATCCCTACTCCAAACTCATTCATTCACTAAGACTAAATGTTCAAAATAATGCATGTCAAAATCAAATCACATTCTTTTCTGAATCAACTAATTTGTCTTCAATGAAGGCATTTTCGGTTTCAAAGTAAACATTAATCATGGATACTAAAACTGGTTCACCTTTCAAGATATATAACTAATATAATGGCCGCGAAAACGAAATTTTGACCACAATTTATAAAGCTAGTGGTCTATCAAAAACACTGTCGCACAAACAAGTAGTCTCTTGGTCGAGTCTCTTAAAAATTTTGATTTGAAAGAGTAGCATTATGTTAGCTACAATAATTTGTTTTTAGGATCATGGTATAATATCCTGTCGGCCATCGCTGTGATCGCAGTGCTCACGAATGTAAGTCAAACATCACCACCATTACCATTCAGTCATCATTACTTTCTGACAATCAGAAAAGTAAAATTCATGCCGAATCTGATCTACAGTCTAATGACAAGTGGTGCAACAGCCAAATTATAATGTGTAATGACATTATAATAAAAAAAATAATGGTTATCTGCTATGTGCATTTATATTATCAGATTCTAATAATCGGCCTCAGGATATAAATTGTCCGTTTACAGTAATTCCTTCTTCATTGAGGTACTAGACCTGAACACTACTTGGCTACTACGTTTTCGTTCCCCTCAGAAATAGAAACGGAATGCCATAGATAGTTTGAATGAGACTGAAGTGTGTGGAATAATTGGACAACGTATGTTTGTTATCAAATGTAGGACTACGGAAACGAGCTGTATTTGATGGCATTCAAAAGAAAAAGACAACAATCGCTTTTTCATGCTGAATTTGAAAGTAAACAGAAGACGGAAACAGGAATGTTGTTTTAGACTAACAGTTTACCAAATTCATGTCTGCAAGACGTGAATTAATTAATTCTCTATACGTGCTCTGCTGTGGATAAGTTGGGAATAAATAAATACTTAGGGTTTTTCAGGCTGTTGAATTTATTTGAATGGCAATTACTTACGTTGTGGGGAGTATCTTTGTTCTAGCTTGTCACCTTTTCTTCCGAGAGCATAAGTTGTCCAAACACAATAGCTAGGGATTAATATATAGAATCATGTTAAACCATTACTGTCGTGATTCGGATTTGGATTGCGAATATCTCTTTCTACCCTTGCGATTAGCAAGGGTATTGCAATCGGGTACTATAGTTTTTTCCGGAAATAGCTTTGTTCACAGGACTCATCTGGACCCATTTACCGTGGTTCATGGTGAATTCAAATTTTTTATCGTTACGTTCAGGCTAAGTGTGCCGGGAACGATAAAAAATTTGAATTAGCCTGAACGTAACGAATACGCTTCTGACATGCTCAATTTCTTGAAAATTCAAATAGGACTGCTATAGTTGAAGTACTAATTAGATAGAGCCCGTTTCAGGTTGTATTTATTTTATCAAAAGTTTTCTCATTTTTTTCGGGTTTTTGATTTTCTTCCTATTTTCAGTCGGTACATTTTCCGTTTTTTTGAAACGCAATTTATCGGAAGGGTTTTTTGGCTTATTTTGTACAGCATCTGTTTTGTTACTTTAAACAGTTTTTTACTACAACTGAAAGTTCACTAATTTGTAAATTTACCAAGTCTGAAGTTTTTTTTTCAATATTTAAACAGTTTCAGTTTATGTTGTATCGGCTCAGTCAACTTTTATTGCATAGTTTCGAGGGCGAATATATTCGCATGCGATTATGTGTTTTAAATTGGTGGGGTCGTAAAGTTTTAAAAACTTAATGAAGTTTTTTATGACAACTATTTTGTTTTATTAATTTTATTATTAGCCCCCGGCCTGCTCAGTTTTGTTTTCGACCACGGGTTTCGACCAAAAACTGTATGCCGCTTGTTTCAAATTATTATTTCAAGTAATTTTTCAACGTGTTTTTTTTCCATAAGTTTTAAGTAATTTTTTCAATTTCGTTTTTTACCCTTGCGATAAGCAAGAGTATTGCAATCGGGTGCTAGACTTTTTTTCACGTAAACAACTTTGTCCACAGGACTCATAAATCTACTGGTCTCTGTTGGAAACTACAATAGACATATTTTTATAGAGCATGTTAGCATATTCCTTGAGCTTGTTAGCATTTTAAATATCAGTCCTATTCGAAATTTGTTTTTTAGGTCGGTAGTAATTTTTGCAACTTTTTTTAAATTTCATTTTTATTTTTTTTCCTTTTCTATTTATTCGGTTCAATAAATTTTGGTCTATATTATATTGTCATAGTGCCCTGAAATGGCGTCGTTCAATGAGCAAAAAAGTTTTAATGTGCCTATTTGTTTTGAAGGTGATGGGGCTTTAACAACTTTTTTTATTAGTTTTTAGGTCTTTTTTTTATTTTCATTTTTGTGTTTTTTCTTTTTTCTCGGTTTAATAAGTTTCGTCCTATATTATATCGGTTTATAACGCAATATAACGTTTATATTCCGTCGTGTAATGATCGAAAAAAGTTTGTGTGTGAGTGTGTGTGTATTGAAGGAGATGGGGCTTTAACAAATTTTCAATTAGTTTTTAAGTCTTTTAAAAAAAAATTTTTTCGGTTTAATAAGTTTGGGCCCATTTATATCGGCTTATTGGCCTGATACTGAGTCGTTTAATGAGCGAAAACACTTTTGTGCGCTTGTGTGTATTGAGGTGGATGCGGCTTTACCAACTTTTAATTAGTTTTTATGAAAAGTCGTTTGTGAAATGTTTACGGCTTAAAGGGTTTCTGCTCAGGTATTTTCGGCGTGTTTAAAGCTTGGTTAGTTTTCTTCTGATGCTAATTTTATCTTCTATTGTCTTGGTGTTTTTTTTAAATTAGTTTTTTTCATTTTGATAGATTTCGGCTCTTTTGAAATTTGTTTGATATTTTTTTCGAATTAGCGGCTGTTTTGTATTGTATCACAAGTAGTGCGAAGCTCAGCTTCGCCTGTGTCAGATTTTTTTTGCATTACAAGTGTTGCGATGCTCCGCTTCGCGTCTGTGTTTAATAAACCGCCCAAAATACTTAAACGTCATCTCATTTATTGATTAAATAAGTTGTCCATTGCATTTCAGCCAAACAGACCAACATTATCATTTAGTTCCATGTTTTGATATTATTCAATCCACTAAATTGGCGGAATAATGAAATGAGCCCAGCAAAATACTCAATGTTTTACTACTACTCTCTCCTGTGCTTAAGCAAAAGATTTGTTGACCTTTAAGGCGTGCATAATTGCCTTTTCGAGTCGTGTGGTGGAGAGATGGTTCTATAGGAACTACCATCAGTCTCAGATTCCTCTTTACTTTGACTTCGTCTTCTCCAAAGCCGAAGTGAAGAAAATATACGGCCACGAAGAGGCCGAAAAACTGACTCCCTTTGCAGTCGGACACGAATGCAGGTGTGCAATAAGCAGGCAAAAACAAGCTGAAATCAAAGCTTGGTCTAAAATATAAATGTTACGCAAGAAGGACAAAATCAAATAAATGTTGGAAATAGTTAGACATTTTTCATTTTCATAGAAAAGTTTTCCATTGTTTTGCGGGTTAGGCATTTATAATTGTTGGCTGATGACAATTACTTGAAATTGAGTTATGGCAGATTTGATTTTGTCCCGTCTAGAATCGATCAATGCATCTGATTCTTCTCCTAATCTGAATGCTTGATCAAAGGCCTGAGTGAAAGTCTGGGCTTATTCACAGCTGTTTGGATCTGTAGCTTCTGCTGGAGCCTCATATCATTCGGAAAAGGGCTCATTGAAACGATGAATCGATCATTTAATAATTCTGTCTATCCAAAAAATTAATTTAATTATGTTCATTCCAGTGAAAAACTATAGTTTCGTGTTCTTCTATTTCTATTTGAACGTTTTCTCCTGTCCTGGTCGAATTGAAACTAAAAACTATTGATTTTTCTGGTCGACCGACTCAGAAGAGACATCTCTATAAGCATTTAACTCAATTGGTGACGCTTTCACTCATAATCAGTAAGTGTTGTATGGTTCAAATAGACCAGCAAACTGTTTGCATTCTTTTTCTGTTTCTTTCTATCGCTTAACTCTTCTGTACGGTTGGGTGTTTTTGTGACTGCAGGGCCTGATAATCTCTTTCACGTCCTCCTTCGTGGATCGCTTCTACTACAACCACTTCGTCGATTCATCCTCTCTTCCCTACTTCGAATTCACAACAGCGCTCAGTCGAGTGTACGACCACAAGACGGACACTAACATCACGTGCAGGTCAGGCTAGGCTTTACTCTCAGTGTTAGATAGAAGACGGAGTTAGATGGAGTGTCCGGAGGTATAACAAATTGTCGTGACCAAAATCCATCCAACGCAATGCAAATCCAATTCTTCGTAGATCCCAACCCGCAAGAATATTATGGCATACTTACAAAATTCAAATCGAAATGTAAAACAGATGCAGTTAGGTATCTCAAATGAGTAACCTCATCTGAACAATATAATTAGAATTCAGCATAAATTTTACCAATTTTGCGGTTTAAGTCAGTTTAACACTCATTTTTGGCATGATTTTAATGAGAATTGAACAGAAGTTACCGGAGCTTTAGTAACTTGCGGGAGCGCCATATAAGAAAAATGAATTTTTGATTTCGGAAGAGGTCCAACCCAAACGGCTGCCATTTTTTTATGCCGTTTTATCTAAATGCTGTTTTTCCCGAATACGGACTCCTGCTATCTTCAATTCAAACTGTTTCAAAATATAATCTATCTCACTCTCACTAACTATCTTGTAAATTTTCTTTTTCATTTCAGTTGTTTCTATGAAATTGTTACAACGGATCTCTTTCATGCATGAGAAAAGTGTTAAGATGTATGTGCTTTTAGATATCAAGGATTCCGTTACGACTACAATGACCCGAAGAACACTCCCTATCAACACACGCCTGAGTTCTACGAGTTGATGGCACTCAGATTAGGATTTGTGCTCCTATTCGAGGTGAGCTACCCAAAAGAACGAAGTGAATCATAAACCAATGGCGTCTATGATTAGAACGTGAACATCAAAAGTTGTCAACCTACGATCTGTTTTGATTGTCGGGTTTGGATGGGACGGTAATTTCAGAAGATTCAAAAGCGGTTCGCCTTTAAAATATATATGGGTCAAAGGATGGTCTCACAGCTTCGAGACTTGTTGCACGTATGATACTTGGGTTCCTACAAGAAGCTATTTTGAAAGATGGGTCCCGTGATAAATACGTGGTAACGCAAAATTCAAAACAGACAACAAACATCATGGTGTTCTATGTTTTCAAAGCCACAACTGCTAATTGAACCATATTCAAAATAAGTAATGACTCTGTGATATTGTATGTGTCTGTTTAGAACATAGTGTTTGCTCTGCGGTCCATGGTCGCCTACATGGTTCCGGACATGCCTGTCCACGTGCGAGTGGAGAAGGCAAGAGAGGAGTACCTCACAAGACAAGTGCTCTACGAGTCCGAAAAGGTAACAAATATCAATGAAAAAACTATACAAAGGCCAGTTATTTGAAATGAAAGAAGTAAATATATGATAAAAATCACAGTGAGCCGACGCTGATCATTCAAATAGTCCAACAAAAAATTTACGATTACATGTGACTAGTTTCGATGACTGGTCTGTGCTGTAAGATTACGCGAATACCATTGCTCAAGGAAGTTCAGAAAAAGGATGAAATTTAATATGAAACTGAATCTTTCAATGCCTGCTTAATTTTTGACTGAGACACATTGGCTATCGGAAATTTCATTTAGAAACATAAACAGAGAGTCCGCAGACGCCAAACGTTCGCTGGTATAAGGTTTGAACAAAACATTGCTTATTCATAGTCTCGTTACGGTTACACCGTTAAAGGTTGAGGAGATGCTCATTATGTCATTTTTCTATGATCATTTTCTAAATCATTTATGAGATTCGACAAAATGTTTAGCAACAGAGTTTTATGAGTTGTGAATTGTGCTGAAAGGTACAGTGCTGATTTAAATTATCCGGACAAAACGAACAAAACTTGAATTTTCAAACGCGTTTTTCTCAAATTGGGTTAAGATTTGACAAAAAATGAACTGAACAAAAGTTCCTTAGAATTTCACCAGAATTAATATGGTGCCATTTTTTCTCCGAAATTCTCAACAAAAATTTTACCCCAAAAATGGGTCATTTTGGCTTTTTTTAATTAAACAAGAATTACGCGGAAACCACTTTGTTAATTGACAAGAAAATTATATCACAGGAAGCCTCTTACGCAGCTCAGCAAAGTTTAAGAAGGGTTAAATCTCCAAAAACCAGTATAAGAGAAAAAATTATAAGAGAAAAAACCAGTATTCTCTTATTTGCGCAAATTTTAAACAATTTGCGCAAATTTTTGGAGATTAAACCCATCTTAAACTTTGTTGAGCTGCGTAAGAGGCTTCCTGTGATATAATTTTCTTGTCTATTAACAAAGTAGTTTCCGCGTAATTCTTGTTTAATTGAAAAAAGCCAAAACGACCCATTTTTGGGGTAAAATTTTTGTTGAGAATTTCGGAGAAAAAATGGCACCATATTAATTCTGGTGAAACTCCAAGCAACTTTTGTTCTCTTCACTTTTTGTCTAATCTTAACCCAATTTGAGAAAAACACGTTGAGAAAATTCAAGTTTTGTTCGTTTTGTCCGGATAATTTAAATCAGCACTGTACTATTACCTTGACTGAATTAAATTTTGTGGTGTAAACCAAATATTTCGAAGATGATAGAAGTGCTGCTCTTTTCTAGCCGGCAGCCAAAAAAGTTGTCTCGAAATGGGTGAGTAAACTAGAGAATGCAATTCTCAATGCACTCAGTGCATTACTGTATGTGCTGTACTGCAGTGATGGCTTTAGATTGTACATGTTGACTGACTGATAACCAATTTCAACTGATTACTGACCAGTTTACACTTATCACTAAACAATTTAGACTGATCACTAAAAAACTGGTCTCAAATGTTTAGAGAGGGCAGTAGAAACCAGTATTAGAGCAGTCGCTTCACGCTAACAACTGATTACAAATGCGTTGGCCATTCACTTCCTAAACGATAGTAGTTTAATCCTGAAATTGTGCATCCGTTTCAAAGATGGAGGTCATAATGATTTTTTTTCGTTTTTTAAGGAAAAGTACTGGCTCAAATTTACTTTTTTTGCGGTTCGACTTTTGATTTCTTTTGAAGTTCAGTTTATTTCCTTTGTTAAAAGGAAGGCAAACTCCACTATAGAACTGCAAAAAGTGTAAAGGTCCTGAAAAACGTGATCGACTTCTACTAGAAGTCGATCACGTTTTTCATGACCTTTACTTTTTGTAAAATAAGCCGAAACCTATTAGGCCGAAAAAAAAGCAAGTTGGTAAAAATTAAGATATGGCCAACAAACCGTTCGAAAAGACTCATTGATTGCAGTTTAACAGAAAAAAAACTGACTTGTTTCTTAAAAGATAAGTTTAACCAAAAACAAACATAGATGGCCTTAAAATTCTTTGAATTTCACGAACAATTTATGATCGACACTATTTTTTGATAAAATTAAACCATATTGAGAGAACTAGATAAAAATATGAAATTTTTATTTCCCAAACTAGAAGACTTCGAACTAAAAAAATTCTACTAGAAATCTGAAAAATGGAATTTAATTTTCAGATTTATCAGAAATTAAAATTTTTACTTTTAGATCTAGTTTTCTCAAATAGGTTTAATTTCATCCGAAAAGCATCAATCGTAAATTTTTCTAGAAATTCAAAGAGCTTTGAGCCTATCTATTTTTTCTTTCAAATTCAATTTTTTCATAGAATGTGGGTTTTTTCTTCAGACAACTTTCGACTTTTTAACTAGACATTTTTGACGGAATTTTTTTTTCATTTAAGAGGTATTGATGTCCTGAGCTTAAATTTGAAATAATATTTTACCTGTGGTTCTTTTTTGTAAAGTTATGGGGGTTTAAAGATTGCCATTCTGGCCAATTTGGGAAAATTAACGCGCGAGATTTATCCGTCTTAGAAATCGTTCCAAATTGGTTGAAGGAAGGTTGTTTGCCATAATTGATTTGTTAATAGGTGCAAAATCTATCACTTTCTACTTAATATGGCGTGTGGGGGATGTTTTTTAAAAAAAATCGCAATTTAAAAAAAAATAATTTTATTTTATACATATTATTGCTGCTTTATAAACCTTAAGAGGCAGTCGAAACGTTCAGGGCTTCGCCCTGATACGAGCAGTCTTGTTTCCGCTTAGTTGCGTTCATAGACTCTTTTCCAACTTTTTGTTGGCTACGTTTGATTATATAGCACCCTAAATGGTGATTTGGAATTTTGATTAAAATCAGCGATTGTGATTGGCGATAGTATTTTCACTTGGACATCAAGATCAACGTCATGCGACCATATAATTTCAGCCTTTGAAAATTTTGGTAGGGGTATAACCAAAAAGCCCCCATAATTACCCACCTTTCATTACCAAATTAGTGTGGCGAATCCATTTAGTTATTCACATTTTGTACTGAGTGCGATTTATTGTATAAAGTTGTTAACGCAAAACTTACTGTTTCTTAAAGACTAAAGAGCGATTTTTGGCATTAAAGTTTGGAAGGTTACGTAGTTTTCAACGTTTGGCATTTAGTTAGCACCAATTTCGATCTGACCTGTGGTTATAGGGTTGTATAGCTTTTGCCCGTATTATATGCGGTATTGTACGTTTTCTTGTATGTTTTTTTTTGCACTTTACAATAATTTTTATGTAGATGTTGGTAAGAACTGCCTTGCAATTAGATAGCTATACTGACTGAAAGCTCAAGTACATGGATGCTGCTTTTAAATGTGCTACTCAACTTTACAACACTTTTTCACCGTCCACGTTTAAATTCATTGGTAACTCGAATTTGTTTTCTAGCTGCGAAAAACAAATTCCAACGAGCAGAAGAAAGGTAAAAATGCATGTGTAGATATTCCAACAGAACTACTTTGCACTGTTATTGGTGAATGTTCAACCAGACTCTTTTGACGTTTCATCTGTGTGGAAAATATAGTATTTTGCTGGTGTAGTTTTTTATTCATATTATGTCGCCGCTCTATTGGAAATGTGAAATTTAATGGAACACCTCCCTGTGTAACGTCTCCTATTTTCCAAATTCATGCGCATGATGTATCTGAAAAAAGAAACTCGTGAATATCAAATATCCAAGGGGTCAACCTCTTACAATGTGTCTAGACTACCATGCACAGGGAAAAAAATAGTGGAGCTTCAAGTTTCGTATAATGAGGATGAAATCGAATATAGAAAAGGGATAGGGGAATGTTCGTTATAATAAAGTTGACGAGAAGTTTTTGAAAAGATATACTTAATTTTGTTTTGCATTATTTAACACATCGCTAAAGCAATCACGGAAGCAAAGAGATACAAGTCTTTTTGGCTTGATATCCCGTGGGTAGAAAAAAATTAAACTTGAACAGTTATGATTCGAAGCTCAGTCAGCATCGTTTTTTTATCCCATCATCAAGTCTCAAGGTTTATTACAGCGTCTAAGCTGCTGTTTTTTGTTTGAGCATGAGAATTACTCGCCCATGAAAACTAACCATATCGATATCGGCTATAAGATGACGTCATAGTAAATTTAATTTTGCTTTTATTTCAGCTAAGCAAAACGTCTCAGCCACCGCACTTTAGGCTCCCAATGATGGACAGATTCAATAAATCAGAATCGACCGCTAGTTCCCCCGCCCAACACAAAAACGACACATCAGATACTAACTTTTCCTCCCCTGATTCGAACCTCCACCCTCACTATGGATTCTCCCACCATAGTTCCTACAACGAACCGGAGTTGAGATGGAACAACGACCAGTCAACGGTTTAATCCTTCAAAATTTTTCTACTAGGGATCATCTTCAAAGACTATATGGTGGAGATGAACTTAAAAATCGAATTAAAACTACTGTTACTTTCGTTGAAAGTCAGGATAATAAATAACTTGATATCTTGAAAATACTCTAACCCCCTTGATAGAAATGTGTAAAATACCTTTGTAGTTTGAATAAGATCAAACTTTTTTCCTACAATGAATAATAGAACTGTCCTACTTACCTTTTTCTTAGTCAATGCAGTTTGTTCTCTTTTTATCTGATAACACTCTCTACCTCTATCTTAACATGGGGACTGGATCATTACCATGTGTGTCAATTAGCATACACGTTCTTGCTATTATTATTCTCGTGAAAGCAAATGTCTTTAAATTTGGTTTATAGTAAAATTGCTTTACAGTATTGCAAAAATAGCTAAGATAACTATTTTAGAAGTTGATTCTCGAATTGAGCTTATTTTGTCTTTTTCAATTGATTTTTATCACATTTTAGTACATGAAAGTAGTAATCGCATGCTAACTGAAATATGTGGTAATTGACACCCCTCTTACCTTTATCAGTATCTTCGCGGACGCAGAGCGCCTTTCTTTCAATATCGCAATTAAGTGTTTGTATCTTTCTACCTTTTGAAAAACTGAGCATTTCGGTTGAATTTCAATTAAGGAATGTTAGCTCCTAAAAAATCTGAAAACTAGAATAACTTGATTGATTAATGAAAGTAAAAACTTTTGAGCTAATCTTCCTCAGTTCCTCAAATAATAATGAATACTTAAGCTGGAAAAATGAACCCTTAAAGTATAAGGTTTTTGACAGCTAGACTGGTCAAAAAAGTTTGCTATCATACAATGCAATCCATGTCTCATATGATTGTTTCGTGTTTTCCTAATTCATGGAATGCTTATTGATCCAATTCACGCAGTTTGTTAATCTGATTTTAGCCATGAAATGTCATCAACTTCAAAAAAGCTAGGAAAAATACCAAATTTTCAATATTTGAAGACTAGCATAGCCAGCTGTTCGCTCAAAGTGTTTTAGTTGGTCAATGCTCAAAAAATTGTCAGAATATGGTAGCTTGTTTGTAGCATGCTTCGCTATCGATGTGCTTTGAAAATATCAGCAGATAAATTTGGTGTACAAATTTGCAATTATAATTAACTCTATAAAAGCTGTCATTTATTGAATGATAATCGAAAATGCAAATACATTATTTCAAATTGGTTCTTCAATTCTGTTAACGTATTCGTAGAGAAATAGTTGAGACCAGTGACAGGTTTTCTGCTCTAACAGTGATACCACGTGGAAGTTCTAGTCGCAAAAAGTTTTGCTCACGAAATAATACAGTCTGGAACGCGAAATTAAGAAAATGGGCTTTTTGATCAAAAATATTTCGCTTTTTAAGTCGTAAGTTTTTTTTTGAGTTTTACCTGTGATTTTGATAGAGTCATTGCATTTCCTTTGCTGACACTTGCGATCAGCTTAGTGTATTATTGCGAACCTTTCTTTTTTCAAACCTAACTCGCAAATAAAATTGTTCTTTTATATGGAAATTTCACTGTGGCATTACAAACTGCATAGCATCTGTTCTCTGCTTTATTTGTGGCAAGTGTTTAGTGCCTACTAAGCTTCCGTGTGTGAGACTCTTAATCTCTAGGTCGCAGGTTTGAAATCTTTGTACTAAATCGAGGCCTAATTGTAATTTTCATTATTGCATTTTGTAGAGCTGCTTTTAGTCGTGTTCTCGCAAGTTTTACGAAGGGAAGCATTACCTGTGTAAAAGGAAGCCAAACGCCTCCATCGAGCAGCAAAAAGTGCAGAAGTCACGAAAAACGTGATAGAGTTCCAGTTTCGAAAATTGTTTTTAACTATCAGATTTTCCAGCGTAATTAAGAACTGTCTTTTTTAGAGTTTGGTCGTTTTTTTCGCATGTGTTTGCGAAGCGCAGCTTCGCTTTTTAGTTGAAATTATAATTGCAAGCAATTTTTTATGGAAGAGGATAGCCAATAGCTTTGCTAGTAGCACAAAGTTGCAACTATTATCGATAAAAAACAGCTGTTCCGTGCTCAAATTGTATCATTTTTTGTTCGTGGTTTGCTATGGTCTGAACAAAAGCTAAGCACTTAAGTATTGTCGAGGCTTTTTGTGAATCAGGCATTTTTAACAACAATTTGCCTTTTAAAAAAACCGAAAACTAAAAAAAAAAACAAAAAAATTTTTTTCGTTCTTTTCAAATTTTTTTGCAGAAAAGCTTTATTTTCAATTTTCTTCGGCTCAAACCGGCATAAAACGAAACTTCGACAACTAAATTGACTAAAATGATACAATGTTTTTTTACGGATCACATGAATGCGTATCACACTTTTATAAGCTTTCTCGCTCATTTTTTGGTGGAAGTGAACCCAAATCAACACTCAACCAAATGTTTCACGACAGAATTTTTTCGAAATATTAAACATTCGCTCAAACATTGATTAAAAGTGGTTTAATTACGCAATATGGTTATTCAAGTGGTGTAGATATACATATAATTATAGATGTAGATATAGATATTGCTGTATGTATGGATATGGATGGAGAGGTAGAGGGATAGGATATTAGAGATGGGGAGATCGAGCGTTAGCGAGATAGTGGTTTATATAGATATAGATATTGATGTAGCTGTAAGTATAGATATAGTTATAGATTTAGATCTAGATATAGCTATAGTTAAAAACAGAAAAAAATATAGCTCAGGTAACTCAAAAAAGCGCAGGGAGCTCAAAGCAACTTAGTTTCAAAATTATGTTTGAGCGAGTTCATTTTCAATCTATTCAAGATGATTTTGAGTTTTCGAAATTCAGACTTTTTGGTGCATTTGTCTCAAGATTTTCACGAATGGAAGTAAACTTTGAGTGTTTATAAGGTTGACTCAAGTGCTTGACGCGCTATATGCTGGAAGAGTGAAGGGGGAGCGATGTCTCTATTAGGTATATTTTTTGTTCCTTTTTAAGATTTTAATTTGGCTTTTGATATTTACGGTTTTTGAGTTTTCACTAGTTGCAATTGAAGCAGGCATTTTTCATTGAAAAAAGAACTAAATTTAAAACTCACTATTGAGATTGACTTGGAGCCTGTTTTTAGCATCATCGTCTTACCATGTTTAATGTTCATTTTACAAATTGGCTCCTTTTTCAATGATGCAGCTAATCAGCTAGAGAGAAACTGAAACCAAACTAATTGTTTCATACGTTTTTGCTAGCATGTTTTTGATATGAAAACAATTATTTCAACAACCGGATGTTTTTGAATGCATTTAAAAAATAGGTTCACAGAAAATGAGTTTTAAAAACGTTGCAGCTATCAAAAAACCTCGTAAAACTTGGATCTGGGCATTATTTTGGGACGTTTAACAGAGTGAAAGTTCAACTGTGCCACAGAGGAAACTTAAGTTTAACAGCGCCATTTTTTAAAATAATGTTGAAAATTGATTTAAAAGTTTTTAGAATTTAAGAGAATTTTTCAGTTTATTATCTCCTCCGCTTTTTTTGTTTTTTTTGTGTGTCCTTAAGTTTTATGTCAAAAATATGGGGAGTTTCAATGCCTCTCTTTCAAATACATGGCTTGATTGGCAGCGGCATTGGGGGTTGTACATAGATATCATTATACCCTTAAGAAGAATAAAAAACTCGTTTACTGTAAGGTAATTTGCGTTAACATTAGCTTTCCTCTCGACAATGTGTTCAAGTTTAAGTTCGGTGGTCGATTTTTTTTCTGCCGGGCAAATGTTTGTTCACGAGTACTGCAAAGCTAGAGAATGCCCTATAATCTTTCATCTGGCACCGAGCGAGCCGATTTTTGCGAAGATGATGATAGTGCAAATAACGAGTACATTGCAGTAGATGGAAGAAAATAAGATCATGAGGCAGAAGCAAAAATTTAGAGAGCTTTGGAGAAGCTCTACGAGAAAATAATTGTGTTCAATGGGTTGGAGTACAACCACTATCAGTTTAGAATATGGGACAAGGACCATGACGCGAAAGAGTGCTACAAGAAAAACCAAAATCCAAACTGTAGTAAAAATAAATTACAAGCGGTTGAGGCGGAACATGATTTCAATGTATTGAGGTCGAATCATATTGTAATAACCGAAGTGAAAAACCTTCTTCTGACAATGACTACCCGAGAAGAACTTCTCAAGAAAACCCAATGCATTCTGCTTTTTGGGCAACGAAAGAGCAGTTTGAAGTGGGCTTGAAACTTATCGAAGGTGTTGCATGCAAATCCACAACAGATGATGCTCAAGTTTCAAAATTGAAGTTTTTGCTGCTAATGCTTTCCTAAACTTAAAATCCTATCCAAAACTGAACAGTCACGACAAATTTCAGCTGCATTTGGTAGGTTCCGACGATCTGGATAATTTTTTCCGTATGTGGAATCACATTGTGCCTGTGTGGAAAATTTCTCTGAAATCTGGACGCGGGCTCAAATGGAATCTACTCAAGCGGAATAAGTTGTGCTGGCAGCTGCCCAACACATCCTTTTCAGGAGATTTCAACGCTGTAAAGATTGTATTAGTTGCACTTTGGGCTCCTGAAAATGATACGAAGATGGAGCATGACAAACTCAACGTTTCAAAACCGGATAAATTAAACCAGTGCTGATTTAATTTATCCGGAAAAAAAGAACAAAACACGTTTTTCAAACAAGCTTTTCTCAATTTGGGTTTAGATTAGACTCATCAGAGTTAATAGGGTGCAATTTTTTCTCCGAAATTGTCAACCAAAATTTTACCCTAAAATTGGGTCATTTTGGCTTTTTTCAATTAATCAAGAATTACGCTGCAAGTAATTTATTAATCGATGAGGAATATATATCACAAGAAGCCACTTACACAGATCAACAAAGTTCTAGAGAAGTTAAATATCCAAAAATTTGAGTTCATTGTTTGAAATTTTTTTAAGCCAAAATTTTGGGTTTTTTATAGTAAAAATCACGTTTCTTGACTATTAAGCAAAACTATTTTCTCTTATACAGGTTTTTGGAGATTTAACCTTTCTAGAACTTGCTGTACAGTTTCTAATTTACTGTTCGCCCTACAGATCTTTTTAACATTTATCGTTTCAAGGTTAATTTAACGATTAGCTTTAGGATGTGATAGGGCAAAAGGCTTAGGATCAACTTATTTAGGATAAGATACAATAGGGCAAGGGGGTTTCCAAGAACACGTGAAACTACTGAGTGCTAAATTTGTTCACTGCTTTTTGTTGACATTACGGATTTTTTCCCAAAATCTCAGGAGAGGTTCGTGAAGAGGTTTGACAAGAATGATCATTAATATACTGTTAATAAATCCATAGCTCAATTTGATATAACGCAGACATTTGGCAATGATGAGTAGTGTTTTGGCTACCTCAAAAATAGTCAAATCTGGATAATTTTCAACATCGGAATGCTTTTTATATTGATTGGCTCTACGGGCAAACTTGAGAAGATCTAAAGCGTTTAGGTCGAGATTTTCGCCCTTCATGTCAATATAAACTTCTCGCCCTTCATGTCAATATAAACTTCTCGCCCATAAGTTGTTTCGAAAATTGCAAGTGGAAACAAAGATATCACCCATGCAACCCAGAGGCAACTAAAAGACCGAACTAATAATTTTTTTCTGACATAGTTCTGCATATTTTTCAATTTCGAATTTGTTTTGTAGTATAGGTAATCAGAAAAATTTGCTGCTG